GGATCTGTGTTTGATTACTCTGCCTGGCTTTCTCAAGGACCAGGATGTGAGACACAATAATTTGAATTTTGGAACTGAAAGTGAAAGTAGTCAAACTGAATGTTTAATAAACCAAAATATAGTTTCAAAGCAAATTAATTTAGATACAAACCATTAAATTCAGTTTAATTTTAAAGAAATTTATTTTCAAACCAGTGCATTCAATTTCAAATTAAGCACATACAGATTCAATCTGAGCAATTCAAATTCAATTGCTGCTGGCACAAGATTTATCCCATAGAAAACAACCTTCGCCTTCCTCATCTTAATGTAGAATAATGGAGGTGACATTCTGACACGTGAACATCCTGCTCCAGACACAGGAAGCTTGTTTGATTCTGCTGATGGAGGAGGAAGGTGGTCTGGAGTCAGACATGCTGTTTAACACCCTCTGCTTTCATCAACACTGCTGTAAAGTAAAAAGACGAGGCAGCGGGAGATTCATCCCAACAATAATCACTGAATGGATCTGAATTCTAATGATGGGTTTTAACTGCAGATTTTCACTTAATAAGAACAGAAGAAGGGGATGAAACGCATTCGTAGGCGAACGAAAGCAAAACTCATTACTGATGTGTGTTTGTTTCTCAGCATCACCATCGCCTCGTGTTTTTATAAATCCATGCTAACACACACAGTAATTGATGACTGCGATGCTAAATACAGATGTTATTAACGGCTGCAGAACAGCTGTCCAGCTGCAGCAGCAGGCAGCTCAGCTGCTGTAAACGCTCCTTCATGCCGCCCTCTCTTCGCCGCTGGAGGAAAACACATTCATCTCCCCTGATTGTTCTTCAGCTGCTTGGAAAAATACGCAGCTTAATGACCACCGCGGGGGTCAAATAACCACCGTTTGWTAATCATCAGGGCGTCGCGCCAGATTACAGGCAAAATTTCAAGAATTTTCTGAGCAGTAGTACCAGTTTTTATTTATTTATTTATTTAGATTTCTGTAAAAGCAATAGGTCAGACTCAAACTTATTTTAAGGCCTTCTGTTAAAATAAATTAGTTCAGCAATCCAAACAAAAAAATCAAATTAAAATTAAAACCAGAAAGGAAAAATAATTGAAGTGCTGTTTGTGTCGGACAATTCACTTCAGTTCACAACAACTCTGCCTCCTGTTGTCGTTTCACAAACTCTAGAAACCACAAGTAAACCTGCAGCGTGAGAGTGAGCTGCTCTGTTAGGAAAAATAAGATCTTTAAAGTGCCTGTGACATGCATTTACTTCAAATACAAAGGATCAAAGAAAACRTCATTATGTTTGAGAAAATTGCCCTAATACACATAATTTTACCCATTTTGTCACATATTTTCTTTTTCCAAAGTAAAACAGGAAGTGACATCAAAGAGGAACTCATTAATAAATTTAAGTATTTGGTCTTGGTTAATTAAAACAATATCATTCAAACTTTAACTCTTCATCTCTTTGATAGAAACTCAAAATAATGTGAAGCAACATCAGATTCTTCTCTACAGCCTGTGTTGTTGGCTGTTGTAGCACTGCTGTGTTCACATTCAGACATTCCCCTTTGACATCACTTCCTGTTGCTTCGCATGCAAATATCTCAACAACTGTTCATCTCAGAGGTACGAAATTTGTTTTTGCAATATGTTATCAATGTTATCTTTCCAAAAATGCATTCATGTTTATATAAAAAATTTGATGTCACAGGCACTTTAATATAAGACGGTTGTTGAGAGCTTTGTATGTTAGAAATAAGGGTTTAAATTCTGAATTTGACAGGAAGAGTTTTGGATCAGCTTAAGACTTTTTTAAAGAGATGTTTGGAYGCCTACTTAGGAAATAATTAACAATATTCTAGTCTGGAGGTGATAAATACATGGTGTTTTCTGCGTTATTTTGTGACCAGATATTTCTGATGTGAGTGATCGTGCTCAGATGGGGAAACGGTGGTCACGTTTTTATTGTGGGACTTAAAAGCAAACCTCAGCAGTACTCTTCAGACCTGGATTTTCCAGGAAATGTGTCCTCACACGGCTGCTGGAACCAAACACTGAGCCCACATACAGTAYATCAGACCTCAAAATGTTTGAACGTTTTTAACTCTCAAACATCTGAAGAGTGACAGCTTGCAGTTAGTCCTGGGAACATTTGGAGAACAGCTCCATTTACCAAAACATTCAGTTACAGCCCAAGTTGGACCAAAGATTTAGGAATTTTGTTTGGGGGGAAATGTAGAGATTTCTTTAATTACTTTTTGAAAAAAAAAATTCTAGAATGACAGAAAATGTCTTCCTTCTCAAAGGGATCCCCGAWTAGTTGTAACATTAGATTTTATTTGATAAACATATATTTTAACTGTAAAATAAAGACTGTAAAAATACTGTAGGCTGTTTAGTTTTGTAAATTTTTAAAATACATATTTTAACATGGACGGAGCCATTTTATTTACACACAAAGCATTCTGGGTAAATGATGACATGGATAGATCATCGGTGAGCGAGCCATATCCACCCTGACAGTTAATCTTGGACAATATCTGATGATCGACTCTTTTAAATGAAACCAGAGAGCGTTGACAGAGAGGAGAAGGTAGAAATGACTCAGTCTGTAGCTGAAAATATAGATGGAGGACAACAGAGCTGCTTCATGGAAGAAGAACCTCAGCTTAGCCTGTTAGCTTTTGCGTTAGCGCTGACGCTATATTGCCTTACATGTATTAGCTCAGGGTTAGCGCGACAAACAAGCTAAACTGAGGTCCTCCATCCATATTTTCAGTTCCAGGCTGAGTCATTTCTACCTTCTCCTCTCTGTCAACGCTCTCTGGTTTCATTTAAAAGAGTCGATCATCAGATATTGTCCAAGATTAACCTTCAGGGTGGATATAGCTCGCTAGCAGCCTCACACCGAGGACCTATCCACATCATCATTTACCCATAATGCTTTGTGTGTAAATAAAATGGCCCCGTCCGTGTAATTTATTTTAAATTTTTTAGTTTAAAAAGGATTAAAACTGAACATCTAACAGTATTTTTACTGTCTTTATTTTACAGTTAAAATATGTTTATCAAATAAATCTAATGTTACAACTAATCAGGGATCCCTTTAAAATACCCACCACTGGTTTCACAGAACATGTGGGTCGGACCTGTTTGGCTGCATTAAATCTGAGCGGACAGTTTTTGCCTGAACACTTCAGAATTCACCCGACTCCGTCTTCTGTCACATCATCAATAAGCGGCGGTGACTCTGCCGTCGGAGGACAGAGACGCCTGTGCCAACACTCCGCCTCCACTTCCCATCACTCAACCACCAGATTGATCTTTTCTCCCTGCAAACAAAGCCCTTCCAGAACCAGAACCGCTCTCTGACTCTTAAAGAGGGGGTTGTTTGTTTTTGTTTTTTTTAAATGAGGCAAAGGCCTGTAAATGATGCACAGATTTTTGGTTACCCCCTTCTGCTTTCGCCTCGGTGAAATCTTCACCTGGTTTGGTGTTTTGGGGACGTTTTCTTTAATGTTTTCATCTTTTTATGCTTTCTTGTTCCTCGTTCGGACCTTAATAAGCATCACTTTGAGCTTTAAGCTGAGACTTTAAGGAGCTGCAAACAACTGCAGCTTTGGTTTGATTCAAAGAAGTGCACCTGTGTTATTATTTCACATTATAGAACTCAAGAAAACAACAAGCTTTGAGTGCGATTCAGACAACCAGGAGCACATTTTTTATTTTATTTTTCCTTTTTGTGGATAAAATCAGAAATCGTTGGGCGTAGGTGGACAAAATCTCCTGTAGATGCTTGGGTAAGGTGTAAAATTTAAAAGAATAATAAAACAAAACATTGTTAGACTCACTAAACAATATATACCCTTATAGCTTCCATAAAGTCTAGTAATCCCTGTCATGAAGGAGCTTGTCAGGAAAAATCTTTTTATTTTACAGCYCAGTGAGCGACTGATGCTGAGGCTGCGTTTCAGCACCACGGACAGAGATCCAGACCCAGACAGAACCTGCAGCTAGGGCTCTTAACAGCTCTAATCAGACATTACCTCAGATTATTTAATCCTGGTCAGATTATTCATGCCTCTCACAGCAAAGCAATCATTAGAAAAATGTTGAAATGTGCTGAAGAAGCTGAAAGTGACTTTTTACAACTAAAAGAAGCCAAACAATAGCTAAAATGTTCAAATGAAAAATACTAGCTAAAAGCAAATGTAAGCCTACTAATACTAAAAGTAGCTAAATGCTAGCTAAAAATAGCAAAACAGAATTGTTCCACCAGCTAAAACCCAAATGTAGGAAAAGGCTAAAGCCAAAAATAGCAAAACAATAGGTAGAAGCTAAAATTTTGAAATGGCTATAGCTAAAAGATTAAAAAGAAGCAAAAAGAGCAAATGCTAAAATTAGCAGATTTTTAAAAAGAACAATGTTTATGAGGGAATTAATTTCATTTGAATGCATTTTTATAGGAAAAAAAATGTAAATACATTATGTGGCTCCTGTCTATGAATGAGGAGAATGTTTTGATGTAAAATGGTTAAAGTTTGTTAGGATTTTAAAATAAAAAACAGTAAAAAAGGACTATTTATTTATATTTTTTTTATATTGGACCTGATAAGTTTCTCTTAAATAATACTCTTCAAATTAGCCAAACATTCAGTCCTGTTAAACTTTACTTATAAAACTGAGGCATAATTACCAACAAAAGGCAATATATTCATTTTAGTGCAATATATTCATTTTCCTAACTTTACTAGAGAACCACGCTTTAAAAATGACCAAAATATATCTTTAAAGTTAAATGAAGTGGGGGTTTTATGAATGGAGAATAGGCCGAATGCTTAAAAAAGAACAGATGATTTTAATCTAATTGTTTTTTTTTAAAGAAAAACAATAGAGTTTCGTGTGCTTTTGCGCCTTTTCATAAAACCCAATTTTCAWAATAAATGTATCTTTAAGTTAATTGTTACAGAAAGCCGTGGGTTTTTAATATCCCTCCTCCACTAATTGATATTCCCCGCTGCAAGCCGCGGCACATTCCGCTGGGGGAACCGTGTCCTTCCGCTGCATATAGATCCGACTGAGCAGAAGGCAGATCGGCGGTGAGTCAGTCAGGCTGCTGACAAACAACGAGGCTGCGCCCCGACTTCCTCCTCTCTTCTTTCTCTTTATTTCCTCCTTCTGCTCAGGAGATCAGTTCACCTGGATTTAAAAAACATAAAGAAACCAAACAAACAAGAAAAACCTCCGCAACCCGATGTGAAAAGGGGGCAACAACAACAAAAATAAAGAGGGTGAAAAGAAGAGAAAACTGCACAACAATGGGAGCGTTCAGGGTGCTGCTGGGGAGTTTACACTACCTGGGACTCTATGTGCAACTTAGTGTCTCCACGAGGCAAGCTGGACACCGGGAGATGGAGAACCACGTCTCTGGGAACGGTAGGTGTGAGACCCCCCACCCCACCCACTCCCCCATTAGACTCGTTTCCTTTCAGGGAAGAACATCCAGTAAAATGTGGAAAGGCTGGCATAGGTAACAATCTGCTCCCAGACAGAGGAGGAATTAACAAAAGGCTGTTTATGTGCCAACTGRTTGTGTTCTGGATAAGCCAACGTGTTTATTTCCCTTCTTATCTTGCAAATAAAATGAGTTTGTTTTTTGTCATAATGAACAAAATATGCAGAGTAAAAATCTCCTGAGTTTTGTTTTTGTGATGTAACCTGAGTGATGGATGGGTGGGAATATTACCTTGTGTCCCAAATGGGATCCATCCCAAACAACCTCACTCTTCACTTCAGATAATTCCCCCACTCATGTAATATGAGCTTCCCTAAACGGCCTCTGATCTTTTATTTTATTATATATATATTTTAATCTTGACTACGTCATGCAGTCTGACTCAGATAAATTTCAAACCATCTGGATTTTCCTGGAAACGTTGACCGAGGCTTCCAGTTTCTACAGGTGTAGAACTGGGAGGGCTAAAGTTTGGCTTCATTCACACATCATTGAAATGCCAATTTCATTATACCAAAACTATACCTCATCCAAATACATAAATATTAGACTACCATTTAAGATACCTTCAATAAGATTCAATTGTTAAAAATGTAATATAATCGCGTTCTCAGTTGGTTCCTGTCCCACCACCTGGTCAAATATTTAAAAGAATACAACAYTGTAATTGTTTGAGAAATTCAGCAACAAATGAAAACCTTACATAAAATATATTTTGGCCAAAAAAAAAATAAATCTAAACATTCTCACTGAATTGTACAGAAGAGGTTTAGTCCTGCGGAACAAAAATACATTTTTTTCTGAGTTCTGACTCAGATTATTTCCCCAGAATTAGAAAAAAGCCACAATTCTGAGATTAAAGTCCGAACCTCAGGAAAAAATAAAATCWTTTTTTTAGCTCCCTCTCACTCTAATCCTCTTCCATAGAATAGTTTTGTAAACGTTGCATCAACAAAACTAATGTATACGGGAACGTTTTTGTCAAAATTTAAACGTAAAGTTTTAACTAGGTGTCAACGTCGAAGTTTTGTGGTGAGGAAACCCTAAACAGTTTTTTTAACAATGATGTTTTAGACCCACAACATCAAGATTATAGGGGTTAGAATTAAAATGATTATTTCTGAAGGTTAGATGCTAATTCAGTTCTGTGATTGCTAGATTGTCTTTATTGGTTTACTAGTAACGCAAATCTTAATAAAATGTTCTTATTTTGCACCGCAGCCTGAGCTTATCTGACTCATTTTTTCAGAAAGATCCCATAAATACAGTCTACCCGACGTAAGCTTTATGCTCCATGTCTTGCTTCCTGTTTCAGGTGTGTTTTCCAGGCAGGGTTACAGCGCCACACACAGGCCCGGCATAGCTACTACAGCATTTTGAGTGGCGTGTTTATAGGAATATTTTTCAAAAGAGTAACAACAAAAAAATATTGTTTGAAAAACATAATCTGTGGAAAAGACTTAACTTTTCCTAAAAGTGTTTGCTGAATCCGTATGAATGTCTCTTTTTTTTTTCCAGTTATTGATGAAAAGTTGCTCTTGTCTGTCTCTGTTCACTCTTTTGTCTGGGCTCAAAGTGGCTTTTATTCCAGCAAAAAAAGAAAAAAAAAATCTTAGGATTTTTCCGTTTGCCTCTTCTTGGGGAGGTCTCTCATTGTCGCTGTAAATATATCTGAAACATCGGCTGCAGATCATCTTTGTACACAGAATCCTTTCCATTTATTTCAGCACGTTTGCTTTTATCATGTTTCCGTGCGACTAATACGTCACAGCAGGCTGCTTWATGGGTAACATAAAGAATGCATATCTGCTTTTTCAAACTGAATAATGTGCTTGAAGAGATATTTTATGTTTTATCCCGAGGGTTGGAAGCAGAAATGAAAACAGGAGGGCATTAAGAGATTTAATACTCTTCCAGTGTGTTACCACTCGTGTAGTGTAATTCCTAATTCTTAATTGAAACTCTAAATGGTCTCGCACTGTAATAATTAGCAACGCACAGTGCATATTACAGTGGCGTCAAGTTAAGTCTGATGGGATTTTCTGATGGAACGGTGCTATAATAATTTGCAGGGTGGGGACGATGAGGGGATAAACACACTTGAACTCATGTAACACCTTGATTATTTGCAGAAGAAATGTTCCCATCTTTTATTTTTTCCAGTGGGAGGTGAAGCACATCACTCATTTGGTGTAAGAAAATGACCAATTTAAAAAAAACTGAGGCTTTCATTTGCTTTTCTGTAATTTTGCCGGGTCTGGCTGTTATTTTKAAGCCCCTGAGGCTCATAATTCATCCTTTCTTTCCCCCCACTGTCACTGCAGTCACTAGAATAGAAACGCGAGGAGCAAAAGTAACAAATAAAAGAAGAAACTCTGCGGCTGCAATCTACTTCTGCTCAGACACTCTTTTAGTTGTTGATACTTTTCAATTAACTCCCAATTAGAAGCAAGTGAGGCAATTATTCCACCCAATCAATTGCTTTAAGTATTCAGCAAAGGGTAAATGAGCCATTCGACCAACAGGATGCTCAAACTTTCTGAGATAAAGAAAACAGAGACTGTTCTATTAGCTGCAGGAGTTAAAATATCTCACAATTTCATTGTGATGCAAAAGATATTAAACAATTATTGATGCATCTTGTTTATCTGTGATGATCAGGTTTGTGGAGAAACACCTAGAGGCAGCTAGTGAGCTCATTATGTTTATGAGAAAACACTGAAACTGATACAGAAATACAAATTTACAAACTGAAACGATGATGGCTTATTTTACATAAACACTGGTTTTCAAATGATTTGGGCTGTTAGAACCTGAGTGCAGGCATGCAGGTTTAWATCCAAAATATGTTTCAGTAAGAAAAGGCAGAAATCCTGGACCAGGACAGTGACTCAGGTCTGAGAATCCACCCCGCACCAACTCTGCTGACTCCCTTAAAATGGCCGCACAGATTAACTTTACCAAAATCAATTTTTTGATATTTCAAATTTGTTTCAAGATCTTTCATATCTGCTGATTTTATGCACCTAAATATTCTGTGGGGTTGTAAAAGGCATTAAAAGGTAAATGAAATTATCAAAAATGAAGGCCATTAAAAAGTTATAAACATCATCTGACGAGGCATTATTTTTTTTAAACAACCACCTAAATATATGTTTCACCCCAGTGTATCCTTTAAAAATCCCAAAACAAATAATTGGTCATTGTTTTTATTGAGACGAAGTAACTACACTTAATTCAATTTCAATTCAGTTTATTTATTCAGTGTCAAGTCACAGTATACATCATCTCAGGGCTCTGTAGACACACACACACACACACACACACACACACACACACACACACACACACACACCCACACACCCACACACACGTATATCTGTAGAAGCAAAAGTGGAGCAAGCTTACTTTCATTTATATTTATTTAGCAGTTTCTGTCCACGCTACTGTTTCAGTTTTATTACTTCCTTCGGGATGATAAATGTCTTATCTTAAAAGCATCGGATCAGAGCGTTTCCTCACTGTGTGCTAAAAGTTATGCCAACAATTTATGTTTGTGGTCTTAGGAAGTACAGGGGATTCCTTGGAAGTGTGGAAGGAAGTGGATCTGGATCAGGTGGAGAAAGACCTGAGAGCGGTTCTGTCCCGCGGCATCACCAGCGTGGCCGTTCTGCTGCTGCACTCGTACACGTCAGTACTTTCCTCTGCAGTTTCACCTGCTTCTCTTAATCTGCATTTTAAAGGGGCAATTTTATATGTTTCTCAGTTGTATATTTAAATTCTATACATAGTAAATGCTGTTTATATGTTTAAGTAGACAATAAACTTGACTTCTAATCATATCTGTTTCTAAACGCCTTGAAATTGGCCTCTGTCTCTTTAAGAACCTGCTTCTGCTTCTGTCCCGCCCATTTCAGCACACTGTATCATTCAAGCCGGGTTCCTACCAAATGCCAAAATGCTCCTGCTGCATGCGTTTGGCTGCTTGTCAGCAGCTGTCCGTTCACGCCAAACGCGTCTAAAGACGCGCAATGGGAGGAGCGTCTTTGTTCTTTTTCTGGTCGGTTGATGTTTGAAATGAAGATAAAATAAATAAAAATGCTTTCCTTTATTAAGAGCAAGAGAACGTTGCGCACAGAGCAGATAATTAATTCACTTAGAGGCGCCCTCACAGACTTTTTTTTTTCTCAAACCGGGACCAAACTAGAGGCTGTAGAGGGAGGAGGGTCTTGGTTTTCTTCCGGTCTGTCTTTAATGATGGGTGAAATAAAGATAAAATAAATANGTGCATTTTCATGGTCAATGGAAACGCAGCTACTGTCTCCCATCCTGAACAGCACATTGGTGACAGTGGAGAGGAAAATCTCCCTTTTTAACAGGAAGAAACCTCAAGCAGAACCAGAACCAGGCTCAGGCCAGGCAGACCGGCTGGGTTTGAGGGGACAGGAAAGAGACACAGAGAATTACACAAGGACTGCTCCATGTGTATTTTCTTCTGGAAGAGAGAAAAAAACACATCATTGATAGAAGTGATCACAACAAACATGTAGAGGAGAGAGACTAAAGACAACAGCAGAGTGAGGAAATGTGTGCACTTAAATGACACTAATCTACTATTTTATAAATAGTTTCTCCCAAGTGACGTTAAAGAGGTTTCTGCTACAGTTGCAACTCAAAGTCATGTTGGCATAAAAAATATCCTGATGACTGTGGTAGGCACTAGTCCCCTAAARCTCAAATGAGCTAATTGTAGACCTAAATTTCTCCTTTGTGCTTTAGGAATTTTATTAATATCTTCAAACAACGTGTGGATTTGCGCTTTCTAAATTTAGAATTGAGTAGCAATAATCGCATATAACGTTACAAGTTTGATCGTCGACATTGTCTAAAGAACAAGGAGAGCCGTCTACACCCACTACGT